TTTCATCTGTACCTGTACGGACACAAATTTACACTCGTTACCGATCATCAACCACTGGAATGCATTTTCAACAATCCAAAATCGAAACCGCCAGCGAGAATTCAAAGATGGAGATTAAGACTGCAAACGTATAATTTCGATGTTAAGTACAAATCAGGAAAATCAAATGCCGCAGACTACATGTCAAGACATCCGAATATTAACGAAGCAAATCGAACAGATCATTCCGAGGTAGCAGAAGAATTCGTGAATTATATATCAGAGAACGCAATACCGAAAGCAATGACAATTGAAGAAATTGCATTAGAGTCCGAATCCGATATGAATATTCAGAATGTTATCAAAGCCGTGAAATCGGGAAACTGGGAAAATTCATATGACAATAAATCTCTTGATACGTTTGCTCGTTTAAAGAACGAATTAACGACAGTGAACACAGACAAAGGAGAAATATTGATGCATGATAATAGGATTGTCATTCCGCACAAACTTACAGACCGAGTTATAACATTGGCACATGAAGGTCATCAGGGAATTGTGCGAACAAAACAGTTACTAAGGGAAAAAGTTTATTTTCCTGGTATAGACAAACGTGTAGAAGATACATGTAAAGCTTGTATTCCATGTTTAGCAGCCACGCCAAAGAAAACTTTTGAACCGTTAGCTATGTCAGAACTACCAGATGCACCATGGACATATCTTAGCATGGATTTCTGTGGACCATTTCCAAGTGGACATTATTTCATGGTGATAATGGATGAGTATTCACGATATCCAGTTGTAGAAACACTTACAACAATTTCTGCAAAAGCGGTTATACCACTACTTGACAAAGTATTTTCAACATTTGGAATACCAAATATAGTAAAAACCGATAATGGAAGCCCGTGGCAAGGAAAAGAATTCAGAGACTTTGCGACATATAGGGGATTTACGCATAGAAAAATAACACCATTATGGCCTCAGAGCAATGCAGAGTGCGAGCGATTTATGCGTAGCATTGGGAAATCAATCAGAGCAGCACACACGCAACATCAAAATTGGAAACAGGAAATGTTTACATTCCTCCGTAATTATAGAGCGACAAAACACGCAACAACGGAAGTTTCACCAGCAATACTTTTATTTGGTAGAAATATCAAAACCAAATGACCAACTTTAACACCAAAATATGAAGATAAAGAGATTCGAGAAACCGATCAGAGAAAAAAAGATAAAATGAAGGACTATTCAGATACAAGAAGAAATGCTGAACCGTCATATTTACAAATTGGTGACACTGTATTGGTCAAGCAAGACAAACAAAACAAACTGTCAACTCCGTATAACTCTAATCCATACAAAATAGTTGAAAGGAATGGTACAATGTTAACAGCTAAAAGAGATGATGGACACACGATCACTCGAAATTCTTAGTTTTATAAGCAAGTTAAAATACCACCGACAATTGTAAATAATGAGAAAAAAATAGAAGAACCAGCAACACAATTAAGGACGTCAGGAAGGATAAATAAAACACCGGCGTACTTAAATGATTATGTAAAGTAATGTTATGTAAAGTAATGTGTAGCTAGTGAACAGGCATAATAATCCTGAGCTCACATTTAACTAAGCATCACGCTTAGTATTTATGATCAAGTGAATAAGTTTTAATTTTCTGCGTATCGTATGATGTCTTTAGTACTATTTAGACCGAGAATACCAAAGGATTTTACACTTTAATTCAGTTGTGATTCATTCATTCATTCATGATATTAATTGCTATGTTTACCGCACAGAAAACTATGTTTACAACATTTAGACATGATTACACCGCTGTTTTATGGACATCGTTAATGTATTAAAGAAAATTCATTTTATGGCTAATTTCACAATTCATTAATTTTATTTCATTTTATTATTCTACTGACTGATAAAGATTAAATCTAGAAAGGGAGAGATGTAATGTATTGAAATTGTTTATCTAAGGTCACTACAGAACTTAATTACTTTAACAGATGCAGACCGTTATAATCGCGTCTTATCATGTGTGTAACTTGTATTAGTTTATCAGTTGTATTAAAACCATGAAACTGTGCAGACGACTTTATTACCTCTCTAGCAATTAGTAGCTATTTTATATTATCATTTTTTTTTATTCTTGTCTTTCATTTTTGTTTATGTGCTTTGTCTATATGCCATTTTGTTTTTCTTTGTTGATATATTTGTTTGTTTTTATAGTAATTAAGATTATAACACAATAATGACTAATGTACCCCTATTTTTGACATTTTTACCTATTACAGTCCTTGGATGGTGTAAACTTCCAACTCACACCATACACCATTCACCATACACCATTACACCATACACCTTGTGCCATTACACCATACACGTTACACCTTTGCACCATACACCTTACACATTACACCATACACCATTCCCCATTCTATCTACACGATCCGAAATTACCCATAATGCATTTAAATTTCAAAGAAAGCGTGCGACTACAAAATTATTTATTTGTTTTAAAAAACGAATTTTGATCACAATATTGTAAATTAATGTATAAAATTAAAATCTCCGTGGTCATGCCTATGATGGTTATATAAACAATACAGATTAAATATATATACATTTATTTGTAAATAAAGTACGCATAAAACTTTGCTTGAAATGCAAATTTATCCGCGATCTGCCTATCTATAAATTAAAAACGATATTGGTTACAATGCTATTATTATCGGTTTTAAAATGTAGCGTAAATCTTATAAACTTGGTTTTCAGATAAAATCGACAAACAATGCCAAAAATGAATAGTACCTAGGGAGCTACCATTTGATTTTTATGGGGCGGGGGGGGGGGGGGGGGGGGGGGGGGGGGGGGGGGGGGGGGGGGCTAGGATGAAAAATTTTGTCCTGCCTTTTTATTTTTCCCTCTATTCGGTCCTGCCTTTTTATTTTTCACTCTATTCGGGTCCTGCCTTTTTTTTAAGTTTATCCTGACTTTTTTTTTACATAAATTGTCATCCTGCCTTTTTTTTTTGCAAATAATGTCATCCTGCCTTTTTTTTTACTCAATATCATGTCCTGCCTATTTTTTTCAAATTTCATCCTAGCTTGTCTCGCAACAAAATTTCAGTAATTTTGATACCTCGATCATGCTGACTCATATCATGCATATAAAAAAATTATTTTAACGTATCAACCAAAACTGACCATATTTTCACTTTATTATGTAAATCTATATAGCCGCATATAAATCAGCAATATTTTGATGTCAGGATGGATTGTATAATACAAATGACAGCAACATTGCAATACAACTTGTACAATAACAACAAAAATTTGACCCCATCAATCTAGATTGCCAGCATGTCCTCTTTTTATTCAAAATATTGTCTCGCAAGAAAATTTCAGTAGTTTTGATACCTCAGGCTGACTCGTATAACCAAATTATTTAAACGAATCAACCAAAACTGACCATATTTGCACTTCATTATGTAAATCTATATAGCCGCATAGAAAATCAGCAATATTTTGATGTCAGGATGGATTGTATGATACAAATGACAGCATCATTGCAATACAATAACAACAAAAATTTGTCACCATCAATCTAGATAGCCAGCATGTCCTCTTTTTATTCAAAATATTGTCTCGCAAGAAAATTTCAGTAGTTTTGATACCTCAGGCTGACTCGTATAACAAAACTATGTTAAAGCATCAACCAAAACTGACCATATTTGCACTTTATTATGTAAATCTATATAGCCGCAGAGTAAATCAGCAATATTTTGATGTCAGGATGGATTGTATAATACAAATGACAGCAACATTGCAATACAATGACAGCAACATTGCAATACAATGACAACAAAAATTTGTCCCCATCAATCTAGATAGCCAGCATGTCCTCTTTTTATTCAAAATATTGTCTCGCAAGAAAATTTCAGTAGTTTTGATACCTCAGGCTGACTCGTATAATAAAACTATGTTAAAGCATCAACCAAAACTGACCATATTTGCACTTTATTATGTAAATCTATATAGCCGCATAGAAAATCAGCAATATTTTGATGTCAGGATGGATTGTATAATACAAATGACAGCAACAGTGCAATACAATGACAACAAAAATATGTCCTGATCAATCTAGATGCCAGCATGTCCTCTTTTATTCAAAATATTGTCTCGTAAGAAAATTTCAGTAGTTTTGATACCTCAGGCTGACTCGTATAACAAAATTATTTTAAAGCATCCACCAAAACTGACCATATTTGCACTTTATTATGTAAATTTATATAGCCACATAGTAAATCAGCAATATTTTGATGTCAGGATGGATTGTATAATACAAATGACAGCAACATTGCAATACAATAACAACAAAAAATTGTCCCCATCAATCTAGATGGCCAGCATGTCCTCTTTTTATTCAAAATATTGTCTCGCAACAAAATTTCAGTAGTTTTGATACCTCATGCTGACTTGTATAACAAAATTATTTGAAAGCATCAACCAAAACTGACCATATTTGCACTTTTAATATTATGTATATCTATATAGCCACATAGTAAATCAGCTATATTTTATTGTCAGAATGGACTGTAAAATAGAAATGACAGCAACATTGCAACACAATGACAACAAAAATTATCCCCATCAGTTAAGATTGCCAGCATGTCCTCTTTTTATTCAAAATATTGTCTCGCAACAAAATTTCAGTAATTTTGATATCTAAGGCTGACTAGTATAACAAAATTATTTTAAAACATCAACCAAAACTGACCATATTTGCACTTTATTATGTAAATCTATATAGCCGCATAGTAAATCAGCTATATTTTGATGTCAGGATGGATTGTATAATACAATGAAAACAAAAATTTGTCCCCATCAATCTAGATAGCCAGCATGTCCTCTTTTTTTTCAAAATATTGTCTCGCAACAAAATTTCAGTAATTTTAATACCTCAGGCTGACTCGTATAACAAAATTATTCAACAGCATCAAACAGAACTGACCATATTTGCACTTTATTATGTAAATATATATAGCCGCATTATAACGCAATAATATTTTGATGTTAGGATGGCTTATATAATACATATGACAGAAATATTGGAAAACAATGACTACAAAATCTTGTTCACTTTAATTTATAGTGCCAGCATTTCATCTCTGTATTCGTAATATAAAACTGTCACTAAAGTCAGTATTATGCAGTATTTGTATATCCCACTTCCATGACTTCTAAATATGGATGGGTACATCACAGATTCCTTTTGGGCTATTGTGTGATGGGTTGGTCTGCGCATAAATTAGTCGTGCTTGCATAAGTTCAGGATGGTTTGTATAATAAAACTATACCACCACATCATCCAACACTGTGACTGACATGACAGATTTCATTTGTACTTTATAATGAAAAGTATGAGAAGTTCTCTTCTAGGAAAAGTATACTGTTAGTATATTATGTCGGTTGGTTGATTTTGTTGGTGGCTAAATATCAATTGGCAAATATTTCATTCCTGTTCACATGAGTATATTTTTTCGGACGTTCATGATATCATTATATTCCGTAATGACAAATGTAAGGAAATTGACGAGATTGTTCACAATTATACAACACCTTATGTGCAATAACACTGTACAATTTTCCTTTGAACATTTTTTGGAAAACAGGATAAATCCAAGGCAAAGAAAGGTGAATTACGATGAAATATTTATAAAGAGACTGTCAAAAATGGGGAACGAAGCAACTTTAAAAATGATGTTGATAACCCATGATATAAAAATATTTTACCGATGCGTGGATAACCTTTTTATCCGCCTTCTAGTTTAAATAAAATCCTTTCTTTTATGATAACTGCATGACTTTTTGTGATCACAAGTGTGTAATATTATAGCCATTGTTTAATGTAAATAAAATTATGAAAAAAAAATAAAATTTTAATATGTGTATAAAATATATATAACATAGAGTCTAACTAGTAAAGTTATTTGCTATACTAGGAAAAAAGAACAATAGGATTATTATTATTGTTTATGTTTACAATCCGAAAAATTAAAATAAAATGAACCTCGGTTTCAACCAATGAAATGTCGTACACCATTCATTCACACCATTCCCGATCGCACGTTACACAATCACACCATTCCTCATACACCATTACACCATTCCCCTTACACCATACACCATAGCATCATACACCTTCTACCATTGCACCATTTGCCATACACCATTACACCATACACGTTTTTTTTGGGAAATTAACACCATCCAAGGGCTGTATGTCTGTTTGTTTTTTTACACCTTGTTGTCAATATAATTGAATTTCATGCGACTGTCATGAACGTGAGAGGTTAAGCTAGCTATAAAACCAGGTTTAATCCACCATTTTCTACGCAAGGAAATGCCTGTACCAAGTCAGAAATATGACAGTTGTTTTCCATTCGTTTGATTTGTTTGAGCTTTAGATTTTGCCATTTGATAAGGGACTTTCCGTTTTAATTTTTCCTTGGAGTCTGGTATTTTTGGTATTTTACTTTTTAGTTGATCATTTACGATTTTTTAGATTTGGCTATACTAGATCCGTTTTGATTTCTTTTGCTGTTCGAATGTTGTATTTGTGTTTTGGCTTTCAAATATATTGGCCTCGAGCATCACTGAAGAGATGTCAATTGTCCAAATGCGCATCTAGGATAATAAACCTAGTAAGGTTTATGTTAAATTTTAGAACTATGCAAAAAGGTGGCCTTCGGCTGTGTTTTTACTCTTTGGTCGGGTTGTTGTCCCTTTGACACATTCCCCATTTCCATTCTCTATTTTAATCATTGTTATCTTAGGGCCAAACTCCCATAAGTAGTCGAATGACGATACAATTTTATTTATTTGTAGATCTTGTCTTCGAACTTTTAGGGTTAATAATTTCCAATGAATTGTCTACTTTCTTGAAAATTTTAGAATCGATGTTTGGAGACAAATCAAAATCTCGGATACGAATTTGAACAATGATATACCAAGGTAACACAAACTTTAGTTCAAATTTGAAAAGCCGTTTCAGAGGAGAACAATTTAAAAAAAAAAATAAACGCCGACTACGGATTACGATTAAAAGGAGAGAGAGAGAGAGAGAGAGAGAGAGAGAGAGAGAGAGAGAGAGAGAGAGAGAGAGAGAGAGAGAGGATACACAGGAAACAATAATTTATTGTTGTTTTATTAGTTGTATTATAGCGATCATACAATGATAGTTAATTATAATTCTAATCCACATAAAATCGAACATGTCTTCAATACTTACAAACTTTTAATTTATATTTTACATTCAACAATACTTTACATGGGTATTGATTGACCGCACATGCGTAAAATGAATATCTTGTGTTCAAGGTCCTTAAACATTTATCGTTCAGTTACGTACTTGATTCCTTCCTGGAGTATATCACAGAAACTATGTCACTTGTAGCTCTTGTAGAAGCAATTTCTTCAGACGACAAACCATCATTGTCACATTGATCACAATTCACTCCCATGTCTAACAACATCCTTATTATTTCTGTTTGTCCATTGTCACAGGCAAACATTACAGGTGACTTTCCATCATTGGCACATTTTTCAAAATCTGCTCCTCTGTCTAACAATATCCTTACGATTTTTGTTCGTCCATTGTCGCAAGCACAAATCAAAGGTGACCAACCATTACTGTCACATTTATTATAATCTGCTCCTCTGTCTAACAACATCTCTACTATTTCGGTATGTCCATGTATACACGCACACTGTAAAGGTGTCTTGTCGTCACTGTTCAATTGATTATAATCTACATCCCTGTCTAACAACATCCCTACTATTTCTTTGCGTCCATGTTCACAACCACAAACTAAAGGCGACCGACCATAATTGTCACATTTTCTATAATCTGCCCCTCCATCTAACAAAAGCCGTAATATTTCTATTCGTCCACTGTAACAAGCAGACATTACAGGTGACTCACCTTCATTGTTACATTTATTATAGTCTGCCCCTTTGTCTAACAAAATCTTGACTATTTCTGTGTGTCCTCTTTCACAAGCATACATTAAAGTTGACTCACCATCATCGTTACATTTGTTATGATCTACACCTCTGTCTAACAACATTTTTACTATTTCTAAATGTCCACTGTGACACGCAGACATTATAAGTGACACACCATCAATGTAACATTTACTACAATCTACTCCTCTATCTAATAACATCTTTACTATGTCTGTATGTCCACTGAAGCAAGCAAACAGTACAGCTGACTGACCACCTACTTGTGAGTAATTATAATCTACTCCCTTGTCTAACAACATCTTTACTATTTCAGTATATCCAAAGTTACAAGCATACAAAAAAGGTGACCAACCATCGTTATTACATTTATCATAATCTACTTCTCTGTCTAACAACAACTTCACTGTTTCTGTATGTCCACTGAAACAGGCATACATTAAAGGTGACCAACCTTCACTGTTACATTTATTATAATCTACGTTTTTTTCTAACAACACCTTGACAACCTCTCTGTGTCCATTATTACAAGCAAACATTATAGGTGGCCAACCATTTTTGTCACATTTATTATAATCTACTCCTTTGTTTAACAACATATTTAATATTTCTATATGGCCACTAATACAAGCAAACATGACAGGTGACTTGCCAGTATGGTCACAGTCATTGTAATCTACTCCTCTATCTAACAACATCCTAACTATTTCAGTTTTACCATGTCTACAAGCACACATTACAGGTGACCATCCACTATTGGTACATGCTTTATAATCTGCTCCTTTGTCTAACAACATCCTTAATATTTCTGTATGTCCATATATACAAGCAGACAATAAAGGTGACTCACCAAGATTATTCCCTTTATTACAATCTGCTCCTCTGTCTAATAACATTCCCACTATCCTTGTATGACCTTCACGGGTAGCTACAAAAACTGGAGTTGTATCATTCTGCCTACACTGATTGATATCAACATCTTGTTTTAAACACCACTGTACCATAGGACCATCACCATGTAAACAACACAGTAACAGTGCAGTACCTTTGTTTGCAGAGTCGCAGGTGTGTGCTAATTGTCTCTGGTATAGTAAATCCAGTGTATTCAAATGACATAAAAATCTGTGCCTGATTTGTGGTATTTTCATATTAGAACTACAAAATACTTCATTGACTGCACCTTTTGACCAGTCCTCAATCATTCTTTCTATGTACATTTGATGATACTTAAGGGGCACAATTGTTACAAAAGGATCTACACCAACGTGTCTTTCCAAAGAAAATCTTTCCATGATTAACCTGCAATGTGCATTCTTTATTAAGCATTGAATTATATTCTGTCCGAAATAAAATGTAAGAAAGTCAAATATTTTATCATGTATACTTTGGTACACATTTTGGTTTTTTTTAATGAATGTACCTGAAAGCGAATCAAGTTCATCTTTTAAAAGAAGTCTTGATGTTCCTCTGTCTAGTCTGCATGCCTCACATATGTTACCAATGATTGTTTTTGTTTTTTCATCCACTTCTTCAGTCAACAATTCTTCATTCAGTCTGTTATTAAACATTACACATAAACCCAAAGCACAGTACTTAGCGTAATATCCCCTTTTCCGTAGTTTGTCAACCTCTGCTGCATAAACTGAAAAACTGATTCTGGAAAATGTAATATTAAAATTAGGATTATCATAAAACAGCTTACATATAAGGGGAAAACAATCATATAAATCATAAAGGTCAGTGATTTCATAGGCTTTTGTTTTCAGATATAACTCAGCTATTAATTGTTTTTCACTCTTTAGTAAACACAGCTTCTCCGATAGCATGTTGCAGACACACGACTTAAAGACAGACAAAAATTCAAACTTGTCATCCTGGTACACTTGTAATCGACATGCAACAATGACTTTTGCCACTTCATTTTCAAGAATTCCTTTTAAACGTTTCATGACAGGTTCCCACATTTTAATGTCAGCATCGTTTAAAGAATAGTTTCCACATAAATCATCAATAACAAACAATCCTTTCTGGTTTGGATTATAAAACTTGACAATGTCACCTGGATCTGTTACCAGCAGAACATCATATCCTTCATCTGTCATCTGTAAAGCGACATGTCGGAGAGTGACTGTCTTCCCTACACCAGAACTAGCCATAATAGTTACGCAATTGTTCTCTTTTATACATTTCAGTACACGTTTTGCAGCTCTGGTTGTAATGAACATCTGATCGTTGTCCTTCCAGTATCTGATTGATTTGTGCTGAAATGAAACAAAAATACTTAATGATTACTCGTCTATTTAAGATAATTTTATGACTCTATATTTGCTTGTGTTTTTTAGAATCTGCTCACTGACATTTTTAATTGACAGTTTTATGCACTACGCTATATACAGGTAAGATAACAACACTAAACGACAAAAGAGACAATTTCAGCTCCCCAATTGTGAACTTTCCATATCTATGTAGCAACATTCCAGCAGCACCTGTTTTGTTTTGTTTACACATTGTTGTCAATATAATGGAATTTTATGCGATTGTAATACACAGGAAAGGTTTACCTAGCTATAAAACAAGGTTTAATCCACCATTTTCTACATAAGAAAATGCCTGTACCAAGTCAGGAATATGACAGTTGTTTTCTATTCGTTTGATGTGTTTGAGCTTTTGATTTTGCTCTTTGATAAGGGACTTTCCGTTTTGAATTTTTCCTTGTAGTTCGGTATTTTTGTTATTTTACTTTTAACCCTTCTGGAGCACCTGTGATCATCCCCGGTTTTGTGTTTTTTTTTTTTGGTCAAAAATTGCCATCTTTAAACGTAACTCTGACAATGAAGGATTACGATTTTAATCATATTGACCTATCTTTTGGTGTTTTACAGGTTCCGTACGTTTGGTCATTTTTTGTTTTAGAAGCTTTTCATTGTTTGTTCATGGCGTTCAATTGCAATATGACATACGTTCATCAATGTAGAACCGATGTGGAAATGAAAATCAGACATCGTAGATTACTCTCACAGCTTAGGATCAGATCAACACATAGACTTTGAATAAGTGTTTATCAAAAAGTAAAATCACAAAAATACTGAACTCCGAGGAAAATTCAATCGGAAAGTCCCTAATCACATGGCAAAATCAAATGACAAAACACATCAAACGAATGGACAACAACTGTCATATTCCTGACTTGGTACAGGCATTTTCAAATGTAGAAAATGGTGGATTGAACCTGGTTTTATAGCGCTAAACCTCTCACTTGTACGACAGTCTCATCAAATTCCGTTATATTTACAACGATGCGTGAACAAAACAGACATTATAAATAAAATATCAAGGTTTTGTATTATGCCTTTAATACACAGGTATGTACTAGGAATAGTTATAGGCTAGACACATTAACTTGATTCTTTGTACCATATATGTCAAAACCGTGATGAAAAGTTTATTTATTGCCGTTTAACATGTTTTAACCTTTTATATTTAAAAATTTGAAATTAACTTCACAAGAATGCAGACGCTGACATGTCTCGCCTGCTTTACGTATCATAATTGAACTGATATAAAAGGTCTGTAAAATGAAAAAAAACATATTACAGTATAGCATACACTTAACATTATCAATGTAAATGATGTCAATGTCAGATAAATTCTACTAGACAGATATGGACACATTTGAATCATATCATACACAAAATATAGTGAGCTTATTGCTAATAGTATCTGATCGAGAAATATACTTAATTTCAAAAACTAAACATTAACCAATGAACTATGAATATAAGGTCATGGTCAAATGAACAACATGTACACAATGGAGTCATTCAATACACCAAATATAGTTTCCATATTGCTTAAAGTATCTGAAAGACAGACATATCCACGAAAAATAAACATTTACCAATGGACAATGAAAATAAGGTCAAGATCAGATGAACCCTGCCAGACAGACATGTACATCTTACAATAACTTCATACTTACAAATGTAGTTACTTTTTGCTTATAGAAAAAATCAACTTGCACAACCATGAAAATTTAACATTGACAAATGAACTATGAAATTAAGGTCAAGGTCATATGAAACCTACAATATAGACACGAAAACTCTACAAACATTCTATATACCAAAGATAGTTTAAAGAATCTGAGATACGGACTTGACCACGAAAACTGATCCACGAAATGAAGTCAAAGTCAGGTTGACCCTGTCTGGCGGATATGTTGACCTTGCAAGGATAACATATATGCCAAATATAGCTATTGTACTATTCATAATTAGTATCTCACATGACAAAAAAGTATATACTTTTTTAGCAGTCACTGAACCATGAAAATGAAACCAAAGCATCATGGACATATGACAGGAACTGCGTAAAATAAGGCATCTGCATACAGTTAAATATAGAGCTGTATACAAATAATTATCGCCGTCGCCGCCACCGGATAGTAATCCTATTATATTGCGACTTTTGTCACAGGGGAGACAATAAAAAGCATACAAACGCCAGATAAGAAAAATGACGGCACATTAAGAATTTAATTAAGTAGTTTTATTATTATTTTTTATATCAATATGAATATTTTTACTTTGGATTTTAAACAAAAATTTTCTTCACACTTTTCTTTCTTAACTTCTTGGGAATCAGCTAAATTTAAATAATGTGATGAGGTTTTTTATGAACTGGTCTGTTAAATTTGTGCCACTTAATATGCTGTAATACGCAAATGTGTCCTTAGATCTGTCAAAATTTCTGACGAAGTGATTCCGATAGTAATTTACGAGTTACGTCAGTTTTTGACACTTTTCAAGAACAAACTTATTTCTAATTGTATATATACTTAGCACCATAAGCTCATATTTTATATATGTATACTACAGATATATGTAACACATTCAGGTCAACATTTTTATCATTTTTAAAACAGTTCCAGGACTGAAATAGGGCTTTGAAGTTACTCTTGGACATGATATGTTATTCCATGAGTTATATTTTAGTATATATTTTTACTGCTGTAACCGAATGAGACCAACACAGAAATATATTTATACTTCATAAAGGCTTGGGCTAGCCAAAATATGAATAAATACTAGACAAGGTAAAAATGTCATATGCAAATCTAATGTTGAATTCCCTTAAAATACTTTTTAAATATATGTTTAAAAGAAATTCATAATCGAAATCATCTCAATGAAAATTCTTCATAATTTCAAATATAAGAAAATTTGATTGCAATCTGTGTGTATGTTTATCAATTACACTAAACAACTCTACATTTAGTCTAATTCCATACAGGTTCTTCTGAATGAACTCAGATTGTAAACAAGAAGCCTAAACTAATGGATAATAATTCAAATGGTAAATCATGAACTTACGAATAAATAATAATGAGAAAGATTCGATCTCATATTTTTTTCTTCTACTTAAAAAAATAACTAGGCCCATTTCAGTGAAGTTTTTGAGTGCTCAATTATTTTTATTTTGAAACACAAATATAGTCAGATCATATGTTTTCGTACGTCATATGAATTCGTACTATGCATGCTTTTTCAATGGAAATTGTGACGTCACAATGCATTCTTAATAGCACGAAATCCCATGAGACGAGGATATGTCACTGTTGATGACATTATAAAAATGCATTCAATAAGAGTGATTAAAATGCAAGTCTGATAGAGATTGCCTTAAGGTCAGAGAACTAGACTTTTATGTTTCCATTGTACATGTAATAGGGGGCATATTTGTATCAACTTTTACAGGAGTCCTTCGTCACAAAAAAAAATTAAATATGAACAATGAATGTTTTTCCAGTCATCCTAATTCAAGCTTGTGCATAGACAGTATAACATTACCTCACCTTATTGTTTCAGTTAACATCAAACATTTAAGTACATGAGAATAATTAATCCAGTAAAATCACAGCTGAATAGGCCCTTTCATGGTTATTGCAACCATATTGAATAGGTGGTAGATTTTTATAATTGAGGTGAAAAATGCTTTAAAAAAACGGTAAAACATCATTATAACAGTCAATTTGCTTGGAAACATGGATAGGTTATCTCATAATTTCTTACTGTTTCCCCTCCAACCAAAATATATGCTCCCTATTCAATATGGCTGCAATAACCGTAAAGTGGTGTATTCGCCATTGCTTTTTCAACACAAAAAAAACCACACTAAATATCTTTTCACTTGCATGATGACATCGATGTGTAAAACAAAAAAACTACAATGTCAACAATGTCTTTCCTCTTGAATTTAATTCAAACGGTGTTTAATAAGGGGTGACAGAACGTTAGACCTGAAATATTTTTGTAGCTTTGAGATACGTAATAACTTTTTAACTTCTCTAGGTTATATATATTTTTTAGCTTATCTTTGAAAACAGAAGAAAAAAATCAACAGTCAATTTTGCATAACTTTAACGTATTTGTTTGAGGACGACCAATTTCAGTTAAATTTTCTTTTATAATAAGACACATTCTTAAGAGATAAAAAGAGATCAATTTATGACTCCAACGGCAAGTAATAAACAGAAAACAGAAAAATTTCCAAATTGCCGTCAATTTCATTTTTACACGAAATTAAGCAACTTCAGAATGGAGGTCTTTAATATCAGTCCCATTGATGTCTTTAAAAAATAGTAACAACAGTCATATCTAAGGGCTTGCTTTCCGACCGAAATTTACTCTTGACTGTTGATTGCTTAATGTCCAGTGGCGTATATGTCATGCATATTTAGAGTGAACATAAAAATTACAATAAATTAGTTTTGTACAGTAAAATTCATCGTTTACTAAGTTAATTGTTTTGTACTAATATACTCCGGTGATGACTAACTATCTGAATAATATATGAGGGTATCGCACGACCTGCTTCCGACAGAAGTGGTGTCTTGGCTTTCAAAGAGTTAATGTCCCGGTTTTACAACAAAAAAAAAACTAAGGTTCCTATAATGATATCATTTGGATTTGTATTTGAACAACATATGTAATGTCAAATGACTATTTAATAACCGTGGACACGTTTGGGTGTTTATAAATATGGACACGATTGAGCGTTCATAAAATGGAGACGTTTTGGCCTCATATGGACACGTTGGTATTATTTTTTTTAAAGTGGACACAATTCGGCGTTCATAAATAAGATACGCTTTGGCGCCCGTTAGCAACTAGACATGTTTTACAGTTCAGTGGCGTCATATGGACCCGTTTGATGGAATCGGACACGTTTGTTGGAATGAGCACGTTCCTGAGTGTTACAT